AGAGAAAAACATGTTTTTTAGCGACAGGGAAATCGTGTAAGCTGCTTATGGCCTGAAACTATGCTTTGTTCCCTGCTATATCCTATCACCTAGCACAGACCTGGCATGTATTAGGCACTTAGTAACTGTTTGTTGAATTAATGAATAAATGAGTAAAATAGTCTTTTAGAGATTTATCTTCCTGCAGAGAGTATGATAGAAGAGGCAAGCCATAAGCTCCTATAACTTTGTTGCCATTGCCCTGTGCCAGAACCTCTATTGTAGCACTTAGCTGTAAAGCATTTTGAGTATCTATTCACATGTCTGACTCCTCTTCTATCGGGGGAGACCTGGCATATGGCACAATGCATTTCATGTTAAAATGAATGAGTGAATGCAAGCATGGATGAATGAAAGAGTGAACGAACATGCCCAGAAATAATTAAAGTACAAAGTAACACATGGTAGGTAATTACGATATATAATTACTATCATTGCATATAATACAATTATATATAATACGAAGTATAGTGGGGTAGGTATCATAAGAAATGAACAAAAAGTTTTGATAGGCTAGGTGCAGTGGCTCATACCTATAATCCTAGCACTTTGGGAGGCCAAGGTGAGAGGATCATTTGAGGCCAGGAGTTTGAAACCAGCCTAACCAATAGTGAGACTTTGTTTGTACAAAAAATAAAAAATTTTAGGCCGGCGTGGTGGCTCACGCCTGTAATCCTAGCACTCTGGGAGGCCGAGGCGGGCGGATTGCTCAAGGTCAGGAGTTCGAAACCAGCCTGAGCAAGAGCAAGACCTCGTCTCTACTATAAATAAAAAAAAAAAAAAAGAAATTAATTGGCCAACTAATATAGATAGAAAAAATTAGCCGGGCATGGTGGCACATGCCTGTAGTCCCAGCTACTAGGGAGGCTGAGGCAGGAGGATCACTTGAGCCCAGGAGTTTGAGGTTGCTGTGAGCTAGGCTGATACCACGGCACTCTAGCCTGGGCAACAGAGTGAGACTCTGTCTCAAAAAAAAAAAAAAAAAATTTAAAAAATTAGCCTGGTGTGGTGTGGTGGTGTGCACCTGTAGTCCCAGCTACTAGAGAGGCTGAAGCAGGTGGATCACTTGAGCCCAGGAGTTTGAGGTTGCTGTGAGCTATAATGGTGATGCTGCACTCCAGCCTGGGCAACAGAGCAAGACTCTGTCTCAAAAAAAAAAAAAGTTTTCATAGAACAATTGGTATTTGAGACAGACTTTGAAAAAACATAAAGCTTTGATTGATGGAAATGATAAGGAAAGAACATTCAGAGAAGAAAAGAAAAAGCACAGTGATAGGAAAGTCGTTTGTGTTGAGAGCACGGTAAATCATCTGTCTTGGCGGGGAGTAGAACATATATGGGGAGGTAGGGAAACACAAAGAAATTTAGCCCAATGCCCTGTGCCATGTTAATAATACTACTTTAAACTTGGAGAATTTGTTACTGTGTACAAAGCATTTTCACATATATTATTTCATCTTATACCATCTCTTTGACATAGTTAAGATGATAATTTTCACATTTGAAAAACAAAAAATTTGGGATTCACATAGATTAACTGCCTTGTCCACTGCACAAGGTATCTGTAATTGTCAGAATTGAAACTCAGATGCATATTTTCGAGCTTGAAGACCTTGGCTTACTTTGCTAATTCACGATGACCTTAAATGCATAAGTAATAAGTGTATACTTAATTTGGTGTACATTGGAAAAGTATTGACCTGATAGAATAGGGGAATGATGTGATCACAGTTGTATTTTTAGAAAAGTCAATTTAGCTGAAAGAAATAATGGATCAGATAGAAACCGAAAGCAGGGAGAACAACTATAAAATGTTTATAGTAGTCTATGCAAAAAAGAATGAGAATCAAAACACGATTGGTTCAGTATGAATGGATAGAAGCAAAAGACTGAGGAGACAAGAGACTTTTTGAAAATAGCATCTATCAGACTTAGCAGGAAATGTTTTAAAATTATAAGATTTTTGAACCTAAGTTTTATAATAACCTAAGTTACTATAAAAATGGTACTGGTAGAAAAAAATAAGCAATTTGAAGGTGACCATGATTGTGGTGTCTTGTATGTAGTTAAGTTACATTGAAACAGTTTAATTTTTTCAGAGTTTACTTTTAAGGTTTATTAAATAGCCAGAGCAGCATATTTGGGAGCATTATTTTGCCCCATTACTAAGATAATACCCTTCTGAGTACTCTACCTAATGTCTTATTTACTACAGGTGTTTTTTGTTTGTTTGTTTTGGGTTTTTTTTCCCATTCTGGCTGGTGGAAAAAATGAACTATTCTTAGCATTTTATGAGCCTGGCAATTTTTCCTTCTGATTATTTTAAGTGATTTCTACCCTATTTATTAGAGTTTTCTCACAGACATGCCTACTTTACTACTGAACAAAGAGTTGAGGGGCACTCTCTGCAGATTTCTGGAGCTTTTTCTCTGCAGCTCTCTCCTGTCTAGAATTATGCTATTATATATCCTGAAGATTCCAGCCATGTTGACCTGTCCAGATTCCCAGCTCTGTCTATTCAGCTAATGACAACCACCAAGCTCTGTCTAGGTTCTTCTTCTCTGTCAGTGGCCTGGAACTTCTTTGTAAACAGTAATCTGGGCAATCAATTGTAGGGTTCATTTGTTTCCCCTATCTTAGGCATTATTCTTTGTGCTGCTTGATATCCAGGATCTGCAAATTGTTACTTCATATTGTCTGTCTGATTTTGAGGCATTTTGGGGGGAAGTATAAATCTGGTCCATTATTCCTCCATAGAAGGAAAATTCCTCCATAGATCATGAGGAAGCTAATTAAAGAGGATAGAATGGGAAGAAAGGGGTACTTTTAGCTAGTTGTTAAAACAATTTGAGAAAGATTTTTAATGAAAAATAATTGGCTTTGATCAAAAGGGTAGCAGGTAATGTAATTGATATCATGTCCTTAAAAGAAAGATATGTTGAATAATAGTGATGTAACTAATCTCTGCTCACTTTATTTTTAAATTTGAATCAGAATGAAGAGTTTATGTTTTGTTATATTTTATTTGCTACAACATATACTTGTTACAATGAAGTCACATATCTTTGGACTCTTCCCCTTTCCCATTTGTAATGTCCCTGGAAAGAACTGTCTGATGTCAGCCTATAACTGATGCTGTTGTGGAGATCAGTGGGCTTTGTTTCACATACAGTACTTAGATTTTTTAATGGACCATGTAATTATAGTTCTTGACTGGCATTTTGATAGTATAAATACTCCATTGTGCAATGCAAACACAATATGCATCTCTACTCATAAATTTATAATTGACAGGTGCTGAAAGAATCTTTATTTAAACTCTGTAAGTAGTACAAAAGTCTTCATTTAGTAGTAGCCTGGGCAGGGCACTATGGCTCATGCTTATAGTCCTAGCACTCTGGGAAGCAGAGGTGGGAGGGTGGCTTAAGGCCATGAGTTAGAGACTAGCCTAAGCAACGTAGTAAGTCTCCATCTCTACCAAAAAAATTAAAAAATTAGCTGGGCATAGTGGCATGTGTCCGTAGTCCCAGCTACTCAGTAGGCTGAGGCAGGAGAATCACTAGAACCCAGGAGCTAGAGGTTGCAGTGAGCTATGATGATGCCACTGCACTCTAGCCTGGGCAAAAAGAATGAGACTCTGTCTCCAAAAAAAAAAAAAAAAGGCAATAGCCTATATTGACTTAACAAGTAAAATAAGATTAATGCTTTTTCAGATTTTTCTATGAATTATTGATTTTTGATATTTACTATTGACAAAGGAGATTTTACTCTACTTTTATAAATTAGGAACAATTTGTCACTTCTAAAATCTCTCAAAATTAATTGGAAGTGTGTATATACATACATATATACTGTATATGTATTTTTTCATTCCTAGGCAGTTAATTTAGGAAAATAAATTTGCCACTCAGCCAAAGAACCAAATTATTACCAATAATGGTAATATTAGATTTTGTTGCCTTGGGTCTGTTATGATGCTTCCTATTAATTGATAAAATGGTAACAGAAAGCACACACTTCATAGTACCTTTTAATGAGACACTTTAAGCATTTCTAAAATATCATCTTATTGATTTTTAAAAATAGTTACAAGTACCTCATCACTTATGAGTACCATATGTGGGTTCTTTAAAGAAATAGAACCAAGAGGAGATATACAGATACAGATAAAGGAGATTTATTATGGGGAATGGGCTCACTCAGTGATGGAGGCTGAGAAATCTCACAGTCTGCTGTCTGCAAGCTGGAGACCCAGAAAAGCCACTGCTATAATTCAGAGTCCAATGGCCTTGGTAATCCCTGGTCCAAAGGCCTGAGAACCAGGGGAACTTATAGATAAATCCCTCAGGGGCAAGAGAGGATGAGACGAGATGTTGCAGCTCACATAGTGAGGCAGAAAAGGTGCAAATTCCTTTTTCCTCCACATTTGTTCTTGTCAGGCCCTCAGTGGAATGGGTGGTGCCTACCCAGGTTGGGGAGGACAATGTCCTGCTGCTCTCATCTGGAGACACCCTCACAGACACGCCCAAAATACTGCTTAACCAGACATCCGGGCATCCCCAGATCCAGCCAATTTAATGCATAAGGTTAACTATCACAAGGACCTTTAAAATCTCAGCAGTGTTTTTGTACAACCTGAAAAGTATACCCTTGAAATTAGCCTACTGTTATTGCATTTGGATTAGCCTTGGTCTTGAGTGTGTGCTTCGATGAAATGAAGACATTCTGTGAATAGTCCTTGGCAAAAGGGTCATCCACATTTGTGATACAGATAGATATCATTATGTGGTAGAGCGTCTGTGATACCTGTAATTGCCTACATCCTCTTTTATTTTAATCAACAAAGTAGACCAAAACCTAGAACTTTTTTTTTGCTATTCATTTTATTGGTAATCAGTGTAATGATCTCTTTTGTTTTCTCTTTTTCCAAACCCTGTGCCTCTTTCTTTTTCCACTCATAGCTCTATGCCATCCCTTGGTTTCTCACCATGTTCACTCGTAAGTATCATTTGCCTTTTTTTTATATTAGCAAAAAGACAGCTTCATTCTTCCTTCTATTTTATATTTATAATAATAATAAGCAGATTTAATAAGTATCCTTATGTAATTCTAACATAATAGAGTTGGGTAGAAAAGAATTTCAATTGTTCTGACAAAATGAGAATTGTATAGGATGAAAACCTATTTTATATGTCATGACATTCATACAAGCTCCAATCCTAATGTCTTTAGAAAAAGACATTAATATCAACTGTAGTATTTATATAAAGTTTACTAGGGCAACTTTTACAATCAACATAGGCTTTATTTTTAGAGATTCTCTAATATGTTTATTTCCTAACTAGGATTCCTCTAGAAATTAAGCAGATTATGTGACTATGTAATACATTAATTAGCCACAAATATTAATAGAATGGACATCCTTAAATCATGGTTACATGGTAAATGGAATAATATTGGAAGCAGATCTATATGCATTGACCTGGAAAAATACCCAGTATTGTTAAATGGGAAATAGAAAATTAATAGGATTTTAGGGGAGAATTTAATAACACACTTATTTAGATTATATAACAGAAATGTAACTTTACTGTACCTAACAATACTAAAGTTCATCTAGGTAAATAAACCTGTGAGAATAATATAACTGGAAAACTCTGGGAAGAAATATGAATGGGACAATTATATCAAGATTGATAATGGAGGTTAGAAAGTGTTATCTATTTGACCAATCTGATTATCAGCTTTGTAAGATGCATTAAGAATGTAAGATGCATTATAAATTTACAAAGTCAAATAAACATTTTATAAAAATTGGTAGTATTAGCTCTTAAATAATACTTTTGATCATAAAGTAATAGTTATATATCCAGTAAAGCTGGTTGTTATTTTTGTTTTTGTTATTTGGGTTTTATATTTTAATTTATTTATTTATATTTTTGTCATTTTACAGATGTATTTCCACTGCACAAAATTTTCCACCTCTGGGATACCTTACTACTTGGAAATTCCTCTTTCCCATTTTGTATTGGAGTAGCAATTCTTCAGCAGCTGCGGGACCGGCTTTTGGCTAATGGCTTTAATGAGTGCATTCTTCTCTTCTCTGATTTACCAGGTATAGCTCCAAATAGATGGAATCACTGAATGAAATTTGACTGTAAAATAATGAGACATTTTTAAGCCGTTTGCAAAAATAATCATCCAGGCCTTCAGAATCTCTTGTGCTTGGGCCTCATCATCATCTCTTGATTCTCTCCCCATATATTGCCTTTTCTGCTAGCCCAGCATTGTAGATACAGAGCCGGCTCACACCAGTGCAGTGTGATGTACTTCCACCTAGGTAATGCCACCAAACAGGCCAGTGGGGTGAAGGTGGTGGCAGTAACATGTCTGCCCTTTTGCTTAGGACAGGGCTGTCTTCAGCTGATGGAGAGTAAAAAGGGCCACTTGGGGAGGTATTTGAGACTCTTTATTCATACAAAGACATACTTCACATGAAGCTCTGCTCCCTCCTCGCCACAGCTTCTTGCTAACAGTTTGACAGTCTGAAGAAAGGAAACACTGTCCTCTTGGGCGGACAAATCAAACTCCAGAGAAATTCTATGTCATGTAATACAGGAGAGCAAGTTAAGCTGTATAGAGCATTCACAAGTAAGGAGTTTGTAAACCTAAGAGTTGAATACTTAAATATAGAAATATGGATAGCAACTACAGTCTAAGCTTTGATTCTACCATTAAAAAGATAAACTCAGTGTGGTTACATGGCATGTAACTAGATCTGTAGAAGGAAAATAAGCTAAACTATATTTTGGCAGAAACTAAAATTGTAATAAGGTTTACAGACAGTGAAATGTATAGGCCTTAACTATATAACTCAATACATTTTGGCAGTTATGAACATCCCCTTAACCAGCACTTCAATCATGACATATATTTTCATAGTCTCCAGAAATTCCTTCATGCCAGCTGCCGATTGATCCCCATGCCCCTTGGGCAGCCACTGTCTGAGTCTGTCAGTGTAGAAGAGTTTTGCCTGTTCTTGGCTTGTCTTTTTATTCTGTAAACTGTGTCTTTTGATGAGTAGATTTTTACAATTTTAATGTCATTTAATTTATCAGTGTTTTCACAGAGGCCTTTTGCCTCTGTGCAAAAGGCTTCTGAAGTTTTATGGATGTAGAGACTAGAGAAAGAGAAAGTAGAAAGTCCTAGGATTGGAAAAGTACTTAGTACTGGGTCAGAGTGGAGAAAAGAATCTTCAGGGTCCCCTCTTCTTCCGTGATGGATGTCTTGGATGAGGTGTCTGAGGAAGACCTCGCCAGAGGCCCAGGATAAAGAGGCCTTTTCCTTGGAGGGGCCTACATTAGGGATGTGCATATGTGTAAGAGAGTGGCAGCCAGAGGGACTGAGTCTGTGACAGCAACTCCCTTCAGAGGCCGTAGTACATCGGCTATGCACCAGGTCTGCTTTGAGGAGGGCCACTCCCCTCTGGGGCCAGCCAAGTAAAGCCTTTGTAGGAATTGCCTATGGTTGGGCCCAAAAAATCATATATAGATTTTTGGTCAACAGCTGGACTTCTCAGATATTGTACCCTTGCTAAGAAATTACTGTCTGCTCCAAGATCATTACGATATTCTTTTGTGTTCTTCTAGACTGATTTATTGTTTAAATTTTTATATTTTGGTCTATGATCCAGTTGAATTCATTGTGTGGTATGAGTTCTAGTTTGAGATTCACTTATTGTCCCATATATTTATCCAACTATCGCAGTTCCTTTTGCTGTAATTGAATAACTGGTCTTTCCATATCTGCTAGTCATATTCCAAGTCTAAATGTGTTGGGAAATGACAAAAGATGCCTTGTAAACCTTTATTAACTGCAGACATTCTACCCATAATATCACACTTAATAAAAATTACTTAGTTTCTTCATCTTCAACAAAAATGGATGGTGGGAGGGAGAATTACAATGCCTGTCTTCAAGAATCATTGTAAGAATTAAATGCACTAAGTGAAAGTATTCAATACCTGTCTCATGACAGATGCTCAGTAAGTGTCATTTCCCCTTCCCTTCTCCAAAGTTTTTCCACCTTACAAGAGTAGACAACTCTAAATGATGACTCAGGTACCATCCACAGAAGCTACTTATTGCCTATTTCCTTTTATCCTTATAAGCCCTTTATTTCAATAAGAAAAATAGGAGCTTATCCCCTTGTAATTTAAAACATGTATAATGATATATTTTTCTCCCTTGTTTATCTGAACTGACACTTGAACTTTTGCAGAGGAAATGAGAATGTCTGCCATTTGCAGTTTTAGACACCGAGAAAGCCTCGCTAGCCTAGCTAGCTACTGCATCCCCGTCGACTTCTTGAACTGCTGCTACCTATCTGTGATTTCTCCCTCGTCCCCATAGAGCAATGACTAACTCCTCATCAGAAATTTTGGCTCCTAAAGAGCTACAGGCCCATGAAACACACAAACAATAATTTGGAATTGTAATAGCCTTCCTGTTTATAATGGCTCTGCATTGAAGATGCCTCCATTTCAAATATGACAAAAAAAAAAACAACTTCTATGGAAATGTTTATTATTTTGATCAAGTACATTTAATCTACCTCCATATGAAACCTTATTTAAATGTTTCTGCACTTAACTCAAGAATTATTAAAGGTGGGTGGGTGCTCTGACTTGGTGAGGGGGGCAAGGACAATATACGTAACCTAAACATTTGTGCCCCCATAATATGCTGACATAAAAAAAAATTAAAAAATAAATAATTGTATAAACAGTGGAAGAGGCAGACAATAAACAAGGGAAAAAATTTTAAAAAATTATTAAAGGTGAAATACTAAATTGATATTTTGATAAATTTTGCCCTGATTTGTTTATATCCTATTTAATGACAGTGAAACTTCCAGTGTACTTTACTAGGAGTTGTGGTGAATCAACATCTAAATGTTTCGTGTATTCATTCCCAAATTCTAGTCTACCCCAACACCAACCTCTATTTTACTTTGGAAAAGTTAAAAATTATTAAAATAAATGAGCCAGATTTTTAAATAAGGAGATATGTTATATGCCATGATGTTTAAATAATGATACAGTGAAAGATACAAACATATATACATGTAGATAATACCAAATAAAACACAAGTATATATATTTACATATATATGTAAGCATATACTGCTAAATATCCCCTAGTCATAAATATTATATGTTGATTAATATCTGCATTGTAGTTTTACTGACGTCTTTTCTAATTGTCATCTTACCATTTAGATATATGCGTTTAGGAAATGCATATATCTAAATGGTAGATATATGCATTTACCTTAACAAAGCAATCTAAATTCTATACATTCGCTTTTTAAAAACTTTTTCTATCTAGAAATTGACATTGAACGCTGTGTGCGAGAATCAATCAACCTATTTTGCTGGACTCCTAAAAGTGCGACTTACAGACAGCACGCTCAGCCTCCGAAGCCAGCTCCTGACAGCGGCGGAGTCCGAAGTTCACCGTGTTTCTCTTCCGAGTGTCCAGACCCGCCAAAGACAGATCTGGTATGTATTTGCAGATTTAGGTGCACACACTACGAAGCAATGGATGTTAAGATTAATATACCCTAGTGTCATTGTTGTCCTTAATTATATTGTCATTTATGTCCTTTTAATGAAGCTATTTCCAAATATGATTGTATGCATATAAATATTTCAGAAAACTTTTATGTCTGTTGGGTTATATAGGTAGAAAGATTGTTTTGTCATATTACTCCAGGTAGCAAGTTGCATTATTTTTTTTTCTATGCAATCATAGTGGGTCTGTTTATATATCAGCTTTATATAGCGAGAGATCACAAAGCAAAGGAAGAATTTTAAAAATAGAAAGCCTAGCTGGGTGCAGTGGCGCATGCCTATAATCCCAGCACTCAGTAGGCTGAGGCAGGAGAATCGCTCGAGCCTAGGAGTTTGAGATTGCTGTGAGCTAGGCGGAAGCCACGGCACTCTAGCCCGGGCAACAGAGCAAGACTCTTGTCTCAAAAAATAAAATAAAATTAGGAATAAATGTGAAGTTTTATCACGTGTAGCCATATGTAACTTCTAATGGTTATTACAATTTGTATCCTGTGACTAAGGTAATGAATTATATTAAAAATTTTCCTAATATTGAACCATCTTTAATTCCCAGAGTGTGCCCTACTTGGTCATAGTTTGTCATTTTTTAAAATTGCTATTGCATTCCGTTTTTCTAGTTTTGATATTTTTCTAAAAAATATGTATTTCCAAGGATATTGGGGGGGTTGTGTGTTTAATACTGTCTTTTGTCAGATTTAAATATTAGGTTAAGGAAGCTTCATAAAGTGGCCTGGGATACTTTTTAATATTTCTTTTGGCTTGGAGCAGTTATTTTGTCATGGGAATTCCCTATACTTTAAAAATGAGGTAGAATTGTTTGGGAAAAATACGTTTGGCATCTTTCTTCAAAGTAATCATTTGAAGACTTTAAAGTTTTACCTGTATTTACATAGATCTATATAGGTTTTCTATGACTTTTTTTTGTTTTTTTGTTTTTTCTTTTTTGAGACAGAGTCTCACTTTGTTGCTCAGGCTAGAGTGAGTGCCGTGGCGTCAGCCTAGCTCACAGCAACCTCAATCTCCAGGGCTCAGCGATCCTACTGCCTCAGCCTCCCGAGTAGCTGGGACTACAGGCATGCGCCCCCATGCCCGGCTAATTTTTTGTATATATATTTTTAGTTGATCAATTAATTTATTTCTATTTTTGGTAGATACGGGGTCTCGCTCAGGCTGGTTTCGAACTCCTGACCTTGAGCAATCCTCCCGCCTCGGCCTCCCAAAGTGCTAGGATTACAGGCGTGAGCCACCACGCCCGGCCGGTTTTCTATGACTTTTAAACACACACATACACACACCAGTCTATTCAGCTCTACTTAGGCTTATGGGTATATAGGTCTATTGAGGTTTTCTATTCTTTGGGGAATATTAAAATCGATATCTTCTAAATTTATTTATATAGAATTACATACAATATTGTATTTTTTAAATATTTCTACATGCTTATGTTTGTTCTCATTTATATAAAATTAAAATAAGAAAGAAAATAGTTATAAAAACATGTTTATATTTTTTTTCTCATTTCTGATCTCACACACATATACAGATTTTCCAGCATTATTGGTTTCCCCCAAAGTATCAACTCTAGTATTTGTCTAATTTTCCCTTCATTAATGTATTCATTATTACTAAATATTTTGCCTACTTTCCAACAGATAGTTTGTGGAGTTTTTTTATATTTGCCTTCTTTATTTTCACCTAGCCGCTTTCAATTAATGAGAGTAACATTTTGCAAGCTTTGTATGATAGCAGTTGCCATCTCTAGTTTTTCAGCTGAGAGAAAGATGACTTTATTGAGAAATTATTGAGATAGCTATGCACTTCACTGTTCTTGATTAACCATCACAGTGCTCAAAGGCCAGAGGGAATCTGACAGTTGCCATCCCTGAAGAGTCTAATAATCCAGACATAAGAATAGATTCTTCCCTGTAGTATTATTTAACATTTTTTTAAAACTCACTTATTCATTCATCAAATATCTATTGAGTTTCTTTGTGCCAGACCTTGTGCTAGCTTTTGGAGATAAAAATATGAAAAGATATGGAAACTGCATTCAAGGAGATTGTAAATCAAGTGGAGAAATAGACAATATCTCACAAATGTAATAATATACTCTGGTGGAGGTAAGTACACATTGTTTTGGAAACATATGCGTACCCAATGGCACATAGTTACTCAGGAAAAGGAGAAGAAGATTTAGAAATACTAGTTACTCATTTATATTCAGTAAATATATTTTCATACATTCTGTGTGTCAGATAATATGCTAGATGCAGGGAAAGGCATAAGTGTAAATGCCATTTTTTTCTCATCCTTGAGGAGCTTTTAGTCTAGTGGGAAATCATTAACCCATTCTAATAATGGTGCGGAGTTGGCAGATATTTTCTCCCATTGTGTAGGTTGTGTCTTCACTCTGTTGTTGCTTCCTTTGCTAAGAAGAAGCTTTTGGGCTTGCTGTAATTCCATTTGTCTACTGTTGCGTTTGAGGTCTTACCCAAGAAATCTCAGACCAATGTCCTGCAGTGTTTCCCCACTGTTTTCTTCTAATAGCTTGATAGGTTCAGGTCTTTAAGTCTTTAATTCATCTTTATTTTATTTTTGTACATGGTGAGAGATAGGGGTCTAGTTTAATTTTTCTGCAGATGAGTATTAAGTTTTCCCAGTGGCATTTATTGAAGACATTGTCCTTTCCCCACTGAATGTTCTTGGCACCTTTAATATGTGGCTTTAGTTCCAGGTGGACAGCTAAGTTTAATATGCATTGTGTGTACAGGCTGTTGGGCAGAAATGATAAATCAATAGACAATTCCCAGAGTTCTATAGTTATCCTAAATTTATTTTCCATCAACAAAGTCCCATGAATTTGAAACTTCAGTCACATGAGGAAAATGCCAATGTCTATAATACTAAATAAGACAAAAGTTATGCAGAGAAAGTTTTATTTTTATGCCTCTAAGTGGAAATTTTACAATGAATACTAAAATCACTTATAAAACTAATAAAAGAAAAACTAGACTGTGTGTTTTTAATATAATTATTTTCTTCATAAAGCACAGTAGTATCATTTGTTCTAAATTTACTAATCTCCTAAAATTAATTTGCAGAGGAAGACACATACATCATATTCAAGTTCTTTACACATACACATTCACAGAAGTTTGGAAAGTTATGAAATTGTCAGCAGTTCCTCTCCTTCTGTTCTTACATTTTATATAGCAATACTCTTCCCTTTGAAAAACACCTCCTATATGATGCATTTGATTAGAACAAATGCCCAGGTCAAATCTTTCTTTAAATCAGACATTACTTCATAGAGAATAGTTTAGTGAAATCCTCTTCTTCATCAGCCAGGGCATTCTTTTCACTTAGATGAAACCTCACTTGGAAATGCCATATTCATCACAAAATGACTATAAGTGGAACTAGGTTAATCAGAAGTTCTTTATTTTATCTTTATAAATGTATGATTTCAGGCGAAGGCTGGGAAAAATACCTGTAGAGATTGCAATCTAATGAAAAAGGCAATGGAAGCATTGATTGTAGGGCTTGCTGATTTTAAAGCCTTTTAATCTTTCTGAGCACTTTTAATTTCAGAATGTTTAAGTAGCTTTAATTCCTAATATTTAAAAAATTAAAATTCCTTATGTGTATTTTTTATTAAAAGCCATAAACCCATAAAGCTTAGCAATTTCCATTTCTATTTAAAAGCTAGTGAAGTGAGAGAACAAGTGCTTTACCACTAAAGAAGATGGTCATGCTGGAAAATCAGACTTGTGAGGGGGAGGAAGGGGAAAGGGCATTTATTGAAACCTTAAAATCTGTACCCCCATAATATGCTGAAATAAAAAAAAAAAAAAGAAAAGAAAAAGAATTCAGGGCACAGTCAAGGAAACCAAAGGGATGAGAGCTGATATCAAACTTCAGTTGAAAACAGTTCTTTTCAAAATAAGTCTGTCTAGTAGGTGACTCACATGGTTTATTTTCTCCTGCCTAGACATTCTAAATTATATATTCAAAGTGTGGAATTCCACAATGGAATTGAGAAAAGAGAGAAAATTGGATAATAATTAGACTCTATTTTGTTAATTTATTAGGCATATAAATAATATTTTCTTTTGAATACCCATATTTTCAATCAAGTGAATTTTGAAAATTCTAAAATTCTCAAGTTATGTTACATAAGTCTTCAAGAATGACTTTTAGTACTGAATAAATTTATGTTAAATTGAGCTAAATTGTCTTGCATTGCCTATTACGAGGGGGAAATCCTTCTCCCTACTAAATAACATACAGAATAATTGTAAATAGCCTTTAGTCTGAATCAGTCTTATGCCATATAACAGAAATATGGACCAATGTACTGGTTTGATAGTCTGGAGTCTGATTTTTACCTCCTTCATAAATAAGACGTTGTCAATTTGGTTTACTATCTAAGAAAGTATTAGGTTGCTCTTTATTCATCTCTAAGAATCTAATTTCCTCTTGACCATTTATATATGACATAAATTATTTTATAAATGTCCAATGCATATATTAGAACCAGTTTCTTTACTATGTATATGGAATTACAGTGTAATTTCTCATAACATTTAAGTTATAATTAATGCAATTCACAGCAACAGTAATTATACTTGAAGAAAGTGAAATGTGCTCAGAGGTGCTTTTTTTTTTTTTAGAGATACACCATACTCTCATAAGGAAAAATCTATTCATCTCTTTCTATGTGTTTGAGCTAGGAACCCACAGAGGGAAAAAAATGCTTTCCTAAAGATGCGACTAATGAGGAAATAAACTTTAACAATAAAGAATACAGGCCAGGCATGGTGGCTCACGCCTGTAATCCCAGCACTCTGGGAGGCCGAGGCGGGCGGATTGCTGGAGGTCAGGAGTTCAAAACCAGCCTGAGCAAGAGCGAGACCCCATCTCTACTATAAATAGAAAGAAATTAATTGGCCAACTAATATATATATATAAAATTAGCCGGGCATGGTGGCGCATGCCTGTAGTCCCAGCTACTCGGGAGGCTGAGGCAGTAGGATTGCTTGAGCCCAGGAGTTTGAGGTTGCTGTGAGCTAGGCTGACACCACGGCACTCCCTATAGCCTGGGCAACAAGTGAGTCTCTGTCTCAAAAAAAAAAAGAATACAGTTACACACTAGACTGCTAAAAGGAGATACAGTGTCCTCTTTTCCCATATGCTATACTGACTGATATCAAGAGCCTCTAGATATTCTATTACTGGCTATAACTTATCTCTCTATATTAGTATTAATATTTTTATTGTTTGTGCATTTTTTTCAGTCCAGAGAATCCATCCCATTAAATGACCTAAAGTCAGAAGTATCACCCCGGATTTCTGCAGAGGACCTGATAGACTTGTGTGAGCTCACTGTGACTGGCCACTTCAAGACACCCACTAAGAAAACGAAGTCCAGTAAACCAAAGCTTCTGGTGGTTGACATTCGGAATAGTGAGGAGTATCCTCTACATATGCAGTTCAAAGGGTGGCACTGCCTTATTTATATTGCTTCCTCTACATTTACAGAGTGTGTGGTAAAAACAGTGAACATTTCTAGGATTCCTCTGAATTCACATAGCTAAATTACTTCCAAACTGGATAACAGAATGGTCTTGCATGAGATTTCATAAGATAACATTTCATACCAGAGGCCTTAAAATGTTTTCCAAACAATACCAGAATATTGGCATATTTTCTTGGGTTTTGTACTTTATTGCTATTCTTGAAGACATTTGAATCCTTCATGCTGTAGATAGGAATTGTGGTGAAGATGCAGAATACATACACACCTGGTCTACCTCATAGCTTAGAGCAAAAGTTTGCCACATCTCAGCATTGGACTTGTATTTATTATAGTTTTCAAAACGTTGGCTTATAGGTAACATATATTTTCACTAAGTACAAGGTATTTTTACTAAGATTGTACTATTGAACATACCATGCCTTCATTTTGTTTGGCACTAAAATATGAATGTTTACAAAACAATAACAATGCGACCTTTCTCATTATATTTTCATCCTCTGTTCAGTTCTCTCTTATGAATCATTTTCTTGCCTTGATTCTCTATTCTCTAGAATCTAGGTAAATGGTTTTCACACTTTTTTTTAACAGAGCAACTCCCTTTTAAAATATTTCTTAGATATTCAATATATAAAATATAAATGAATTTTATAATAATTTTCTTCGAAAGTTTGGATGGATAGCATTTACTAGTTACAAATGCTATAAATGAGGGTTAGCAGGTTGGTGGTTTCTTACGTGCCAAAATTGAGTATAAAGGCCGGACACAGTGGTTCACACCTGTAATCCCAGCACTCGGAGAGACTGAGGATCACTTGAATTCAGGAGTTTGTGACCAGCCTGAGCAAGAGACAGACTTCATCTCTACTAAAAATAGAAAACATTAGCCGGGCATGGTGGCGCATGCCTGTAGTACCAGCTACTCAGAAGGCTGAGGCAGGAGGATCGCTTGAGCCTAGGAGTTTGAGGTTGCTGTGAGCTGGGCTGACCCCACGACATTCTAGTCCAGGCAACAGAGCAAGTGCAAGTTGGTCGGGAGGTCATCTGATACAAACAGGACAGCCTGAGCTCTTCCTTTCATCAAAGGCAGTGGTTGGGACTCTGCCAAACAAGAAAATGGCAGGTAGGTAGGCAGCCCAAACGTGCCTACCACAGCATTTGGCTAGGGTAGATTAGTATTATTATTTTCTACTATGAAAGCACTAGAAAAAAAAAGATATTCACAGTTGATAAGGGCTGTTTGATAAACACAGAAACCCTGGCAAGTGATTCAGACCTGATGGACACAGATACATTTGCTGAGAATTTAGGTGTTGCTAGGTTCTTAGTTTGTGTTATCAAAAATTTTAATTTAAAGTATATCTTTACTGAAAGTAAAAGCACTATCAGAGAAAAAAGTACTATCAGAGTAATTATGTTTTGAGAGAGAAGTCATTACTGTTTAATGAAAAGTACAGTTAAAAATATTGAATAATAAGCTGAAAGTTATGAATGTTGTACTCACGTGCTGCATCAGAATCACTTTCACAGTTCTTCATTTAATGAGGGAAGGGCTTTTTTGCATCTTTGGCTAGTCTTCTTTCTTTCTCTTTTCCACTTCATTTTCAAGTTTTGATTTTTGTTTTTTTCTTAGAGGTGCCTTACATCCTTTGGATAAAATACTCACATGAGCATGGAGGATGTGTAGCACTACCCTCTGGGATTTTCTCTCAGTCAAGTCTACACACAAATAAATGTTTTCCTTAAACTTTCCTTCTCAGTTTCATTCGGGGTCACATTTCAGGCAGCATCAACATCCCATTCAGCGCAGCGTTCACTGCGGAAGGGGAGCTCACCCAGGGCCCCTGCACCGCTGTGCTCCAGAACTTCAAAGGGAAGGTCATTGTCATCGTGGGGCATGTGGCAAAGCACACCGCTGAGGTGAGTGTCCCCAGCAATGTCGTGGGTGTATATGAGGAATTGTTTTCCTGCCTACTCTGTATATAAGGTTGTCTAAAATCGTGTTTCTTCAAAAGTTGGTCACAAATGAAATGAGCTTTGAAGATTTGTCTACATTCTTACTTAGAAGAGTTTGCCTCTAATTCAAGCCTTTTTCCCCTCAGTGTTCAGCATCAAGACCAACAGTAAGATTGGAAAAATCCAAATGATAGCCCTAGCTCGTTGGGTTTTTTTAAAAAAAAAAACCTGCTTTCTGAAATTGCAAAGAAATAGTTTGAATTTCCTCCAGTGGAGAAAAATAGTAGTGCTTAAGTGTAGACTCTGAAAGCTGGTCATAATGGGATTTGTTGGATTTGGAAGTTCTGTTTACTAGAGGCTCAAAGCTTTTTGACAATAGAGAATTCAGGAAAGGTATCATCGGTCAGATATGAGGAGTACATGAAACTATAAAGTGGCTTTCCTCTTCCATGGCTATATTCTAAGTAGATTAAAAAATAGAACAAAGAATAACATATGGAGGCCAAAAATATAACCTTTATTATTTCTTTTTTATAAAAGACAAGTTGGGTACTGTAGCTTAGTATGAGAGCCAAATGGGCTTGCTAAAAATAAAAAAAGAAAACCAGAAGCAGGCAGAGAACATATTTAGGTATAGGCAACATTGAACCCATACAGGCTCTTTCTCTAAATGAAGGGAAGAGGCTGCCTCTGGAAAAATAGGCAGGTGGCATGCTCCCAGCAGGCAGCTTTTTCCCAACAGGAAGAAAGACAGAACTGAGCTTTCCAAATTTACCAATCAAATAAATCCCTCTACCTCCTAGGGCAGTGTATATAGAGGGACAAAAAGAAAGGTCGGCAATAAGCTTAGGAAAATTTCCTCGTCAAGGAAATCAGAAATGGTGATAAAATGCCCCCTCCTGTATGAATATCCTTTATGTCTGTGGAAACTGAGAACACAGAAATGTGATCACTGAGAATGTAGTGCGATGAGATCTTTACGACTGTCGATCACAGGCTGTTTTAAGCCTCCAACAACCCTCGTCTCCAAAGTACAGGCTAAAGGTGGCATTGACTCTGGCACTACGTGAAGGTCATCCCTGACGATGGAGCCTAACCGACCATACTAAAAAAGTATCTGAGTCGGCCGGGCGCTGTGGCTCACGCCTGTAATCCTAGCTCTTGGGAGGCCGAGGCGGGCGGATTGCTCAAGGTCAGGAGTTCAAAACCAGCCTGAGCAAGAGCGAGACCCCGTCTCTACTATAAATAGAAAGAAATTAATTGGCCAACTGATATATATATAAAAAATTAGCCGGGCATGGTGGCGCATGCCTGTAGTCCCAGCTACCCGGGAGGCTGAGGCAGAAGGATCACTCGAGCCCAGGAGTTTGAGGTTGCTGTGAGCTAGGCTGACGCCACGGCACTCACTCTAGCCTGGGCAACAAAGCGAGACTCTGTCTCAAAAAAAAAAAAAAAAAAAAAAGTATCTGAGTGAATAGTAACTAGTTCTAAGTCATAATCACTCACACGTTTTTTGTGTATCTGGCACCTAACAGAAGACAAGCTATACCTATTTTCTGAGAAAGTCATTATAGTAACTAACCACTTTAATGTGTAATTTCAAGTAAATGAGAATATTTTATAACTAAAGCCATGATATTATATTATTTTGATGTTAGTTGTTAATAATTATTATTTTACTACTACCCCTGTACTGCTGCTACATTAATTGGTATTGCCATATCATTTCAGTGAAAATGTGAATTTTCAATTATAGTGGAAAAATACTATTGAAAATCACATATTTCTAGGTTCCAAGTAATATATGGCCTTAAGAAGAAATTCCAACAATGATAATCCCAATTATGGACTGGTTTTTATTATGCTAGACACCGTAATGAGTATGTCACATATATATATCTCTCTCTCTCATTTTATTCTTTATAACAATTCTGTGAGGGAGCCATTGTTCTAGACAAGTTACACATGAGAGAAACTCAGACTCAGCATTGATCTAATTTGCCTATGTCTAGCCAGGATTAAAACCCAAGTCTGTGTGACTCTACAGGTGAGACCCTCAGCTCAGTGAGCTCTTGAAGCTTTCTGAGTCTTCCGGCTTCCAGTTGCTCAACTCGTGAGCATTCCTGACCAGTGGGAGAGTGCGGGGTCAGGATATTTATCCTTCTGGGTCCTCCCCTCAGAAATGGTCTCAGGTTGGCTTTGTCCTTCTACTGAAGGTTAACACTTCTCGCCACAATTCTCTCTCTTCAGCCCCTGGTGACAGCGGGTCCCAGGCACAGCCACAATTCTGATTTTACTAGCCCCAAGTAATTGCACTGTCCCTTATGGTTCTCTGACATGCCACCAGCACCTTTGTGACTAATCTCTTTATGAGTCATTCTCCTCTCAGTTTATGCTAAGGGCTTTCTGGGATCCTGACTGTTGTTAGAAGGGTAGCATATAAAATACATGAATTTTTCTAATCAACCTACCGTAAACTAAAAGTTTTAAGGCTCACCCCCCACCAGCTGACTGAATGGACCCCCTCATGGCCAAAGGAATATCCTAAAATTAAATTGTCTGCCTGGAGGAGGGAGGTCAGACATGCCTTATGCCCCCCTCCCTTCGTGGAGACACCCTCTGTAACCCATTAACAGGCCTAAGGGTATGTAAGGCAAACCTGCAGGTCCTCAATTTACACAACAAATCTGTGTTGGTAGCTTGTCTCTGAGAACAGCTCCTTATGTTAAAACATTCCAAGCCTTTAGACAAAGCTTCATGTCTTTAACCAATTACAAGCCAAAGAATCTTTAAACCCACTGAACCTGTAACACGCCCCACCCTTTGAGATGTCCTGTCTTTTGGGGCCAAACCCATGTATGCCTCCCACATATTGATTTATGACTTTACCTGTAACCCCTGTCTCCCTGAGACATATAAAACCAAACTGTAACCCAGCCACAACGAGTCCACTTGCTCAGGGCCTCTTGGGAGTGGCTCCAGGTCATGGTCCTCAAATTTGGCTCAGAATAAATCTCTCTAAAATTATTTTACAGAGTTTGGCTTTTTTCCGTTGACACTATATTAGTTGCTGTGTGTTAGTTTGGGCAAGTTATTCTTTCTAAGTCACCATAAAATGAGGATAAGAATCCTACCTGCCTCATAGCTTTCTTGTGAAGGTTTCAGATTAGGCATACAAAGTTCACTGCAGAGCCTGATACTAGTAAGCACTCAGTTAACATCAGCTATTAATTTCGTTTTCTAGTACTATTATTTACATATATGTGAATTTAATAAATACTGTTTTATGTATGATAGTAAAAAATTCTAGAGTTTGTGAGTATGTTAGTAAAAGAACAGATTTGGCAGCTCTAATCTCCTGTTTCTTTATAGAAACACCAAAAAACAAGCAGAAACTGTACTGTGTTGAACAGAAGTGGCAAAAGCAGACATCCTTGTCTTCTTCCTGAAACTCAGGAAGTTTCCAATCTTTCACCATTGCATATGATGTTAGCTGTGTATTTTCATATATGGCTTGTATCATGTTGAAGAAGTTCTATTCCTAATTTGTTCAGTGTTTTTAGCATGAAAGGATGTTGAATTTTGTCCAGTGCTTTTTCCACATGAATTGAGATTATTAAATGGGGGGGTTTGCTTCCTTCTATTATGATATATGTGATATAATGATTGATTTTTCTATGTTTAACTTTACATTCCAAGCATAAATTCTACTTGGTCATAGTGTATAATCCTTTCAATATAGTGCTGAAGGCAGTTTCCTAGTATTTTCTTGAGGATTTTTGCATCAACATTCATCAAGTCTAATGGCCTCTAGTTTTCTTTTCTTGTCTGTCTTAGTATCAGGCTAATGCTGGTCTTACAGTATACATTCCCTCTCCTTCAGTTTGTTGGAAGACTTTGAAAAGGTTGGTTAATTCTAGCCAGAGCAATTAGGCAAGAAAAAGAAATAAAAGGCATCCAAATTAGAACATATAGTAATTTCCTAGTCTTGCTATAAAATAATACCACAAACTTGGAGGCTTAAAACAACAGAAATTTTTTCTCTCATAGTTCTGGAGTCTAGAAGTCTAAAATCAAAGTGTCAGCAGGATCATACTCCCTCTGAGACTCTGGGTGGAATTCCTCCTTGCTTTTTCCCAGCTTCTGGTGATGGCCAGAAATCCTTATTGTTCCTTGGTTTGTCACTGCATCAAGCTTTGACTCTGTCATCACATGGTGTTCTCCCTGTGTCTGTCTCCATGTCTCTTCCCTTCTTCCCTATAAGGATACCAGTCATATTATATTACTCCAGTATGACCTTACCATAGCATCCTAGCCTGTTTCCAATTAAAGTCACATTCTGAGGTTCTGAAAAAAACATGAATTTTGCGGGACTAACCCCCAAATTATCCAACCAGTATAGAAAAGAAGAAGTAAAGCCATCCTTATATATGCAGATGACATAATCTTTTATCTAGGAAACCTTGAGAATCTTTAAAAAAATTTTTTTAAAAACTGTTAGAGCCAATAAATCAATTCAGCAGAGTTGCAGGATACAAAATCAACACGAAAATCAGTTGTATTTCTTTATATTAATAATGAATAATTTAAAAAGGGAAATAAAACAATTCCATTTACAATAGCATCAAAAAGATTAAAATACTTAGGAATTAATTTAACCAAGGAGGAGTGAGACTTGTACACTGAAACTACAAATACTGCTGAAAGAATTTAAAGATCTAAATATCTGGAAAGACATCCCATGTTCATGGATTAGAACAATTACTGTTGTTTTGGTAACAATACTACCCAAAGCAATGTACAAAGTAAGTGCAGTCCCTATAAAAATCCCAATGGCTTTTTTTTTTTTTTTTTTTGCAGAAATGGAAAAATACATCCTAAAATTCATTTGAAATTATAGTAACCCAGAATAACCAAAACAATCTAGGAAAGAATAAAGCCAGAGGACTCACACTTCTCAATTTCAGAACTTACTGCAAAACTACAGTAATCAAAGCTGTGATATGGGCATAATGATAGACATATAGACCAATAGAAATAAAAATTCTGGAAATAAACCTTTGCATCTATGGAAAATGGATCTTTTTTACAAGGGTGCTAGAATCATTCAATGAGGAAAAAATAGATTTTTCAACAAATGGTTCTGAGAAACTGAATATCCAAATGCAAAAGAATGAAGTCAGACCCTTACTTTCACTATATACAAAAATTAACTCAAAATGAACCAAGACCTAAATTTAAAAGCTACAGTTATAAAGCCCTTAGAAGAAGACATGGAGCTAAACCTTCATGACATTGAATTTGGCAGTGGTTTCTTAAATACACCAAAAGCACAGACAACAAAGAAAAAAATAATTAAACTGGACTTCACTAAAAGTAAAAACTGTGCTTCAAAGAGCATTATCAAGACAGTTAAAGACAACCCACAAAATGGGAGAAAATATTTGTAAATCATATCTGGTAAGGATTTAATGTTGGAATATAAAAATCGATATGTAAAAATCAGTTGTATTGATGTTTACTAGCAACTCCTACAATTCGACAGAAAGACAACCAAATAAAAAAAATGGGTAAAGGACTTGAGTTAGATTTCTCTGAAGGAAATATGCAAATAGCCAATAAGTACATGAAAAAATACTCAATATTGTTAGTCATTAGGGAAATCAAAACCACAATGAGGTAACCTTTTTACACCAAGTGTTGGCAAGGATGAGGAGAAATTGGAAGCCAGGTACATCACTGGTGCAAATGTGAAATGATGTGGCTTCTGCATAGAACATCTTAGCAGTTCCTTGAAAAAGTAAACATGGAATTACCATGTGACCCAGCAATCTGACTCCTAGATGTCTACCAAAAAAGTACTGAAAACAAGGAGTCAAAGAGTTATGGATAAAAAAAAAAGAGTTATGGGTATACCAGTGTTCATCACAGCATTATTGAGAATGGCTAAAAGATGGAAATAATCCAAGTCTCTATCAAGAGATGAATAAATAAAATGTTGTGTATATGTACAATGTAATATTGAGCCATAAAAAGAAATGAAATTCTGATATGTGCTGCAACATGGATGAACCTTGTGAACATTATGCTAAGTAAAGTAAGCCACACACAAAAAGAACAAATATTGTATAATTCCATTTATATAAAATAATGACAATAAGCAAATTCATAGAAACAGAAAATAGACTAGTGGTTATCAGGGCGGGGGTGGGGGGCAGCAGGAGAAATGGGAGTCACTGCTTAATTAGTATCGAGTTTCTATTTGAGATGATGAAAAATTTTGGAAATAACTAGCGGTGGTGATTGTATAACATTTTGAATGTATATAATGCCACAAAATTATAGAACTAAAAATGATTAAAGTGACAAATTTTATATTATATATATTTTACCTCAGTTTAAAAAGTGTTCTAGGATTTGATGTGTTCAAGCTACACTACTATCACCAGTTGATCTGAGCACTACAATTTTTGCTCAGATAGTACTGGACATTTCATGAGAGCTGTTCTGGTGATGTCTCTCTTTTACCTGTATGGGTGGTTTTTTGTTTTTGTTTTAAGTGATTTCCAAGCAAGTAGCAGCTTTTCTTCTAAGTCAAAATCAACACACTGCAGCTGGCAGTGTCCCTTTTTGTGAGAAGACTAAGAAAGCCACAGTCCAATGCTATGAAGAGGACGCAGAGGTGGCGATTCTAGTTAGTGCAGTTACAGCTCATCATTGCAAATGTTTATGATTTTTCTGTCAAATCCATATTTTGACTTGGGAAATTTTTGTTCGCAAAACAGCAGGCACTGACTGTAATGTTTAGCATCTTCTATAATATCTTCTGTTAAGAGCTGGTTTAAAAAAACTAGTCTGAAAATCCAAAAAATGAAAATGTTAAATAGAGTATGTAGTTCAATAAAAGAAAAAAGTTTTCAATATTGAATTCATAATAACAAGCAGCAAAATATCAAACCGTTCCAAGAAAGAATAAGCCACTTGTCTAGTATATGACAGCATTAAAACCACCCATTTGGCATACAAATTAGGACTGGAGTATCTTTTGTAATACAAATATGAAGAAATTATTGTACAATAACCAGATATATTGAATACAGTGTCTGAACTCACATAGGAGAAAACAACAGATCTGAGAAATACAGCTTATTCATGTGCCTGAATAACTATAATTGGAAATATGTATCATTTCTATTGTGTATTCATTAACTATTTCCTACAATTACAATTGATTAGCACTTTATTGCCACGAGATGGTTTCTTTACAATTACCACTTCTCATTTTATATGTGGCATTGCTTCCACATTAATTACATCAGAAAACTATAGAATCTGCCATTTTTTATCCAGATAAAACATTGCTTTTCCCCAGAATAGGGCAAAGAAGAAGTACTACAAAGATCTTAATTCAATTAGGATTCCATGTAGAGGCCTCTCTGGACCAGAACCAAATCCTGCTACATCTCACTTGTTAGTTATTCACTAATTGACCTTATCCTAAAGGTTAAATAAAGCAGTGAGCTATTGTATAACCAAGCATATCCAGATATGCTGTGAGCAAAGTTATGTTAGCTTTAAGGAAAGTCAGATAATCTGGAGTGAGTGAAGGAGAGTCCTACGTCTCTGAATGTGTGCTTCTTCTAGAGTGGATCTAGTGCTGTGCTGTAGTACAAGCCAGACAAACACAGGCTGCATCTGTTGGTAGGGTTTATGAGAGTAGGAGGACCTTTGTATCAAAATAGTGTAAAGCCAATTCAAGCCTTAATTTTGCCACATTTAAAATGAAAAACAGTGCTCACTTCGGCAGCACATATACTAAAAATTGGGACGATAACAGAGAAGATTAGCATGGCCCTGGGCAAGGAAGACGTGCAGTTTCATGAAGCGTTCCATATTTTTTTGGCCTAGGGAAATAATTTATGAAGAAGACCCCAAAGGCAATCACAGCAACAACAAAAATAAATAAATGGGACCTGATCAAATTTGAAAGCTTCTTCACAGCCAAGGAAACTATCACAAGAGCAAACAGACAACCTACAGAATGGGAAAAATTTTACTGGATGCTACATATCCAGTAAAGTGCTGATAACTAGAATCTATATAGAAGTCAGGAAAATCAGCAAGGAAAAAAATCAAACAGCACCATTAAAAAGTGGGCAAAGGACATGAACAGAAACTTTTCAAAGGAAGACAGACTAATGGCCATCAAACATGAAAAAGTGTTCAACGTCTCTAATCATCAGGGAAATGCAAATCAAAACCACAATGAGATATCACTTAACTCCAGTGAGAATGGCTTTTATCAAAAAGTCCCAAAACAATAAATGTTGGCATGGATGCAGAGAGATAGGAACACTTACTCATACACTGCTGGTGGGACCCCAAACTAGTACAAACTCTGTGAAAAGTAATATGAAGATACCTCAAAAACTAAAAGTAGAACCACCATTTGATCTAGCAGCCCCAATACTGGGCATCTACCCAAAAGAACAAAAGACATACTATAAAAAAGACATCTGCACTCAAATGTTTATAGCAGCACAATTCACAATTGCGAAGATGTAGAAACAATCCAAGTGCCCATCTATACATGAGTGGATTAATAAAATGTAGTATATGTATACCATGGAGTACTATTCAGCCACAAAAAACAATGGTGATCTAGCACCTCTTTCTTGTATTATCCTGGATGGAGCTGGAGCCCATTCTACTAAGTGAAGTATCACAAGAATGGAAAAACAAACACCGCATGTACTCACCGTCAAATTGGTATTAACTGATCAACACTTAAGTGCACATATAGTAGTAACATTCATTGGGTGTCGGGCAGGTGGGAGGGGGGAGAGAGGATGGGTATATTCACACCTAATGGGTGTGGTGCGCACTGTCTGGGGGATGGACATGCTTGAAGCTCTGACTCGGGTGGAGCCAAGGCAGTATATGTAACCTAAACATTAGTACCCCTGTAATAGATCAAAAATGAAATGAAAAACATGGCAAATTCTTACTCTTGTTGCAAAAATAATCATTTTTTAATAACTTATGAGAAATTGCATCTTTGAGTGCTACTGGAATTAGATTCTCTGGGCATAGAGAGAGAACATGCATAATATACATAGAAACCCCCACAAAAGATAACCTCTTACAAAACTGAAACACACTAAATCCCAGAGAGCAAGCATTAAGTCTGGGTTAAGGCAATAACTATTTAGATCAATAGGAAAAAGTAATCTACCATCCGTATCATGTATTAAATAAACAAAGATATATAAAGAGACATTTTTATATCCTTGAACTGATTGTTCAGATTTAAAGGAGAATTTTTGTTTTTAACATTCATCTCAAACGTTATCTAATGCAAAATGTGTGCTTTGTTTTGATACCCATAGCAACCCTTACTCACACTATCCTACTCCCAACATAAGGTCAAAGTCTCATATATTTCAGCTTTAAAAACTTCATAATGAATCCCTCTCCTAGAGGTAAATTACAATGTTTAGCGAGAATGATGACTTAATACAATAGCAGGCTTTCTGTATTATTGTGTTGTTTTTTCCTTTCCATGGGATAATGATGTAATGTGATGCAACTCTGAATCAGCTCAGACTGGAAAACTGGCCAACAACCTGGACCAGAACAAACCAAAAGCTCCAATTGGTGTTTTTCTGTCTTTAGAAAGTCTTTAAGAAAAAGTATAAACATCGTATTGCTGTGTTAGTCATTGAAATTTAGAAGACTTTAAAAATAATTATTAACCTTGTCTAGATCATACCTTGTGGTTATGAACCACTAAGATTTCACACCTGACAGTATTCAAAAGGTTATCTAAGAAAGAATTGAAGGATTCTTTGCTTCTCACTTTTGTATGGTCAACCCTTTGGAAAATACTGGAAACAGCTCATCTGACATATAAATGTTATATTCTTGGCACAAAATCAATGCTTTTATCAAAAGAAATATCAAAGCATGATATCTGGCTGCAGTCACGTGGGCTATTGTTATTCTTTCCTTCAGAACAAAACAAAGCAAACCAAAAAATTAGAAAAGAGCAATATATATATTTCTGAATAACATTTGAGTCAAAAACCTAGACAAGAGATAATTTTTATGAATATTCTACTACAACTAAACAGTGAGTAGCTGATGCTGTCTACATCTAGCATGTGATGATTAGATTTAAAGTGTGACATCTGTTTTCAAGTGAAGGTTATAGGTTCACAGTAAGCAAGACATGTAATTGCATGTATTTTTTTAAATCATAGTGCAATTGTGTTCACTTACACTCTCCTGCAGGCCAAGGCTATTTGATCTTTGGATGGCAGGTTGGAAGTTAATTTATGCATCAGTAAGATGAGGCTCTTGCCCCTCCTCCACGCCATCACTTTCTGGATCTCTTCACGAAGGTTTATGACACTGTGGTGATTACTGCTAGCCTTTACCTTTTGCCAATCCCTTTGCCCTACTTCATTTTGGCTGTTGTAACAAAATACCATAGACTGGGTGGCTTATAGCAAAAGAAACTTATTTCTCACAGTTCTGGAAGCTAAGAAGTCCTAGGTTAAGGCTCTGGTAGACTGAGTGTCTGGTGAAGGCCTGCTTCATGGTTCATATATGACCATCTTTTTGCTGTGTCCTCACACGGAAAAAGGGATGGGGAGCTCTCTGGAGCCCTTTTATAAGGGCACTGATCCCATTCATGAGGGCTCACATCTCATGGCCTCGTTACCTCTCAAAGGCCCTATCTCCTAGTATCATCACCTTGGAGGATGAGATTATAATATGTGAATTTGGGGAAGGCACACACATTCATACAATGCACCTTTCTTTAGCCCTGTCTCCTTCCCCTCTTGGCTCAAGCTCTTCCTCTAACCTTTAGTCTCAGGCATCTGAGATTATCCTACTACAAATATATGTTCAAAAGAGAAAAAATGACTGTTAAAACATTTTAACCCTTTGCACTCAGATGTCGAGTGTGACTCGACACAGTTAGAATAAAGGAATCAAGAAAAAAGCAAGCGAGTGCAAAGGGTTAAACCAATTCAGCACATGTGTTGTTCCGATAATAAACTTCTCTAGCTCCAGAGAGTATCTACCTAGTTC